TGTGACATGAGGATTTATATTTACGTAATCAGGAGGTTATATATTTATAGAGATACCTATCAAATACTTGTCTTAGATTATTTGATGACATTAATTTAAAAAGGGAAGCATTTATTGGGAAGAAAGAAGTTTATTTTAGTTCTCTGAAAATTTAATATTGATGACTTATTTATACACATCTATTGCATATATAATAATAATCCATTATAATTAGTAATAGAAAGAAGTATCTTATCGTGTAAAGAGATGTATAGAAAAATATATGAACTATAAAAATAATACAGATATTAAGGAAAAATCAATTGTTAAATAAATAAGTTGAGTGGATTATATATTAATATTTTAACAAGCTTCAGGATACGTGAATTTTATATTTTGTTCCTGTAAAAACTTTTTACACTTATGAAAAAGGGAACTCATATATATTTCAGAATATTCGCAGGGTTTTGATATAAAGTTAAATTGCACTATTTAACAGCGCGAACTCGATATAATTAACCACAACAAAGTAAATACACCTTGTTAAAAATAAAATAACATAAATTATTTAACGTGCAAATTAAAATTTTACTCTCAAAATTTGTATGGTTATGGCATTTAATAGAAAGAATATTGTAAAGATATTTTAAAAGTATAAGCAATCATTCTCTTCTGAAAATAAATTATAGATTACTAAAGTTTGCCATTCCATGATGGAATTATTAAACAATTGATTAATCTTTTTATTTTGGATGCTTTCTTTTAGTTGTAATATTGAAGAAAACAGTAATTGTGAAACGGAAAATATATTAATAATCAGCTCTAAAATACAACAAATATAATGTCATCAATTATCACTAATAAATCCGCATCTTTGATTCATTGCGGCATTAATTTCTCGCATAAGCGGTGAACTATTCTCTCTAATTTAGCTGAATAATTTATTGAGCAAAGGTGAAAACAGTTTGGACTGTTACGGATGACCATTTTGGTGCTATTCAAATTTTATAAAGGACCACTTGTGTGTTCCGCGACCGATCGATTGGAATCTTCTTCACATTTATAAAATGTGGCCGAGGGTGAACTTATTTAGCGCTTCTGACTGGATATCCATTATAATCTCTTAATTTAAACTTATCGATGTGATTTAATATAAATGTGTGAATTAATGAAACACGTGTAATTTCTTATAAAAATGCACTTCAAGAGGGTTAAAAGTTACATTGGGAGACGAAGAGAGCGATGAATAATAAATAAATCGTGAAATTCTCGAAGTCTTCTGATCAATTAAAATTTAGAATTGACATTTCAAGTATTGTCTTCTTGTTAAGAACATGCGCGAAAATAATTTAATTGAATTCGCGATCAATCCCACAACGAAATATTGTTCCCCGGAAATAAAAGGTGTATAGAAACCCGTTAACGAATTGTTTAACGAACCACGCTTGTCACGTTTTATCAAACATTGAAACGTCTCTCGTTAGTTGACTTTGCAACGAACCTCTTCTGCTTTGTATGCTTGTATTAACCTATCAATATTCCGATAAAAATAATACTATACTAACGTCATTATGTGAATTTGAAAGAATAGAAATATTTTTGTTTCATGATTATTTCTCTTTATTTCGTTGCGTCTCGCAACGGCGTGTTGTCGTAATTTTCTCGACTAACGGAAGATTGTGAAGACGCGATTTAAAGTCACACAATGGTTTGCACGACCATAAAAAATTTACTATTTTGCCAACGGCGTCTGTGAACTTCACTGATGTTTGAAAGAATAATGTGCCTACACAGGTTACTATATGCGCGTGCACGTTAGAAAAATCGCGATTATTTTTTACGATGTTTTTGTGATTTGACCGGCGAAAAAAGGAGTATTGTGATAATTCTTGTTTCATAATACTCGTATATATTGGAAAATTCGTTTGTATCCGATGAAAAATTGAGCTTTAAATATATGCGCATAAACGAAAATTCCTTGGTTCTATCTGGCCATTTTAAGCAAAATGTGCACTTTATTAAAAATTTTATTAAAAATCTTACAAATTTAGGTTAGAAATTGCGGTGGAAAGATCTGAATTTTAAAAGACTTTTATCAAAATATCATGAAATATACATGCAGACTTTTTGCACGATTATAAAATACACACACACACACACAAGCACAGATTTAGAACTTCTATCAGAAATTCAATATCAGAAAACCAGAATAGATCATATTTAATTTATGATTTTTAACTATTTTTAAAATTAAGAATAATAAAAATTGACAGTTTAATATGAAATATGTATTTGAAGTATAAAAATTATTTATATTTTTTCATTCTTTTTCTATACTTTTACTAAATGTGATTTTATACAATTTATTTTTAATTTATGATCTTAAAAGGAACGAATTTCATTTTTAAAATTTATTAAAAATGAATAATTCATTGAAAAAGTGCAATTAAAATTTTATTCTTGACGTTTAATGAACAGTAACTTTTTTTGTTATATATGCCTAGCAACAAGTAGATAATGTGTACGTATATAGAATACCTCAGGTAGTGCAGTAATTCGACTCAGTCAGAAATAAAGAACCTAGAAATATACGATAAAAAAGATATCCTTATTTCCTCTCTAGATCGCCGTTATAAAGATTTCAATTTAGCGTGAGGATAAGCTGCAGATAAAATCTCGGAAGTACTTGGAAGAACTATACAACATGTAAGCAATAGGAAGCGAGAAGATTTGAGAAACAATTGTCTTCGCTAGTTTCTCTCTTCATGAATAAAATATAAAAAAAAACAGTCGAATTTAGATCTGAATTCGAAAAGCGATCAAATAAAATAAATATCATTTTCTCTCGAATAAAATAGAATTAGGATGGACATGTAGAAAAATTATTCCACCAGTTTTTATCTAAATCCAGAATTACATTTCCTTCATCAATTTTAGCTTTTTATAGTTTTCTAATATGTATATTGAACAGTAACGTTTTTCAAATACAAATTGAATAAGTTTATGAATGATTAACGCCAGGATATATAATTTTTTATAGCAAATGGATTTTTCAAACAAGTCAGAGAGAGAGAGAGAGAGAGAGAAAGAGAGATTCTTCTTTTACAATCAAATTCTCATTTTCTACCGTTTGTCAATGCCATAATCTAATATCTAATTGATCACCACAAAAAATGAACGAGGACGATTCAATTCAAATGAAATAGAAATTCTATCAAATATATGCCAATGTTTAAATCTAGGTGTTCGTATAATTTTAACGAAAAGAATCTTAACTCTAATTTAGCATTTTTAATCATATATCACATACCAGTGTCTGAAGATATTATAAATCCTTTTTTATAAGTACATTTATTCGCGTGAATTTTAAATAAATCATGCCATTCAATATCAAATATTACATTAGCAATAATATACAAAAGTTGCTTACAATGAGAAAATAGTAATTTTTTTTTTTAGGGTAATTGTCAGTTATGAATGTCAAAACATGATGAATATAACGAAGACTTGTTCCGCAGAAAAGCCACTTCTATGCACGTAAAATGCACGTAAATGTACTTTCCGCCATTAGGAATTCTTTGAATCACTTTTACCGTATGATTATCCCTAAAAACGGTATTTGCGCGTAAGCACTCCTAATACTACACCGGGTGGCATACGTGCATGCATGCAAATGCCTAACGATCGGTGCAGTTGTATGTACTCGTACAATGCGTATACGTATGCACCGACAGCTAGCGTAATAGAACACTATACGGTCTGAGTGCATTCAGTCCCGGTGTTACCGGGGATCTGATTTATAGTGTCCTAAGAACATGGCGCCTATTCGATAAGTGGAAGTCACTTTACTCTCGTAGGAATTGTAGAAAGTTACGCGGGACTCCTCACGCGCTGGAAAATCGATGTGACGATCGGGTTTAGAATTTCCAGGCATGTGCCTTACTTTCATCGCGCAAAGACGAACAAAACTCTTATCAGATCGTACGTGCCGAGAAAAGAATTGGATGTGATAACACTTCTAAATATCGTGATTAAATCGTTTACCGCTAAGGGAGTTATATATCGATGAGGAGAAGAAGTTTCTCAAACTGATAAAACTGTACGGCAACTATTTATTATATCAAGACGTGACTGTGTACAACTTGTTAAACGTGAATGCGTTTCAGTAAAAAAAAAAAGAGAACAGAAAAATTGTGGGAATTGTTTAATTCGATAACGATCGAAGTGAAAATTGGCGTGACAGATATACGATATAATGGGATCTGTGTCTATTTTTCAAACTGAAAAATATATACAGAACAAATATAAATCGTCGACAATCAAATTTGCTTACGCCGAAACCGATAGAGCAATGTATCGGATCCGTTCATCGATTTGCGTGAAGCGAAATGCTCGAAATAACGTACGTCTGCAATCCCACCGTTCCGGATACCGTTATTTATAGCGCTGAAACGCAAAACAACAGATTAACTTTTAAATGTTGACGTTTGCTTTACTTCGTAAAGCGATCGCATGTGTAACTTTAAACGAGAAAACCGAATACTTTATTCATACCGAGATATATTGTAGATGCAACTTCTTTTTTTTTTACATTTTCGTTATTGTCTCGAACATCAAAGCGAAACAGGTAGTTTCGCCGCGGAGCACCATCTTTGTGCGTAATAGCGAGTATACGACGTACATTCTTGTTAAGAAATTCCGTAATAAACGTCATTTCATCAAAGGGCTTACATAAAGAATGCATTTATCCGAAAGGGGAAATAAGAGACGTAAGAAAATATGCTATTTCATCAATGTGGGTATATATTTAAGGTATATAAATTTATTCCTCCACCGTCGACGGAGGGAGAATAATATCATGCAATCTTGTACGCTTATTTAACAAATATATGTATATCGTACCGCAGACAGAAACTACGATGTAAATTTAAATTTATACAACATTCGAAGACGCTAGTAAAGGTAATTACTAATCATGAAGTGAAATAATCTTCTACATGGATTTTTTTTGTATGTTGCAGTGCAACCAGCGTTTGTGCGTGTCATCGACGAAAATACGAAGAATACTCTGAGCACCGGCGCCACTTTAGGACCTATAAACGAGGGTACGCCAATATCTTTGTACTGCGAGAGCGGAGAAGGCAAGCCTGTACCAGTGGTCGAGTGGTTTAAGGATGATCAGCCACTCGAAGGTAAGATTTGCAATGTGCTTACGTTGAAGCCGATAGGGTCAGACCTGTTAAATTCGTAAGCTCGTACGTGCTTTTGAGGAAATTTGAAAGACGATGAACAAGACAAGACTTACTTCTTTTACTGATCTTTTCTTTATAACTTTTTATTAAATAATTTAGCCACACGTCTGACAATTTCTTATTCTTCTTGTATTAATAAAAAAATCGCCGAGTAATTATGTAGTAATAAATTTATGAGAGCCATCTGATATCCATCTGACATCTCAATATGACTGTAATCTAATTATGCAAAATGCAATATAACTACGAAACGTAATTTTATCTACATAATAATTTAGTAAAATTTTATCTTATACGTGTAATAATAATCTAGTAGCCTAGATAAAATAAATGAACGCTGTAAATATGCGATTTTATTTTCATACTTTAGTGGAATTGCATCTGAATTAAAATGTAAAAGGAAGCATTACCACTGAATTATTATTCAAATGCTACTGAAAGATAAAGAAGCCTTCTTCATAAGTTATCCGATGGTATCAGAAATATCTCTTTCTATTATATTATTAACTTTACGTGTACTTTTAAAGAGATGCTAAACACGTTATTCTTTACTCACTACGCATATTTCAGTATGTGCTTTATTCTAAATTCGTGCGTTAATGAACAAAATACATAACATACAAGAATCTCTCCTTCTCTGTCACCTCACCTATCAAGAAACGTTCCATTTCAGCAATGAGCTCGTCGACTATCACTGATACCGGAATTGGTACTAGCAGTAGTTTACTGGAGATGCAAATTACACGAGAAGAGTTAGGCGCAACGTTCACGTGTAAAGTCAACAGTACTGCACTCGTGGAGCCACTAACAGTTGATATTAAACCAGACGTACACGGTGAGTACATACATCCAATTCAAGAATAACAGTAGGATGTGTTTGCAACCCGTTGAAGAAAAACATACGAGTGTCATTTACGTATCATTATACGTGACATTACTGAAATATCCTTAATATTACAGAAGGCTTTTGTTCGCTAATTTTCATTAAATTTATACGTACAGAAGAGAACCCTTTGGAAATACTATCGGCTGAGCTGAACAATCTGGCAATTTATTTTTTCAATACTTAATGATCATCATCAACGTAATAACAAAGCGTTTGATGTGATAGACCATCATGGTGCTGAAGCTTTTCAATGTATAAGGTACTCCAATTAAAAAGCATACATTGATCATCACGTGCGGTATTGGACTACATATATGAGTCGATTATTGCATATTCCGTCGATGGGTAAAATGTTGTATGCCTGGATCGCTTACAATTTCGATCGCGCGATGTAATTTGCACACGATGTAGTACGCAATTCGATAACCGGTCGCTACAAACTCAATGCGAGCATAGTAACGGAATGAACGAATGCGGCATACTTTGACCTAAATTTGCAACAATTCCGCCGGGTATCGTTTATTCATTAAATCAAAACACCGGGTAACATCGGGTAAGCTCACCGTACGGGGTATGGGTATGAATATGAATGACACCGCGACCAGCGTACTATATCAACGCGGCCGAACGAGCAGAATTTTTGCGCGGAGTGTATCCAGCGCGGAATATAAACTAGCTTAACTTTCAATGTCAATTAGCATTTCCTAATAAGGGCTGAGTTATGTAACATCAAAGATTAAAAAGTTTTGGTGAATCGTGCTTCGAAGGCGTTAGTGGGGAACGAGATCTCCTTTCTTGAATCTTAAAAGAATTTTGTTTTCGCTGGAATATAGTAAAAGTCTATTTATCCAGATATTATCCATATGATATTATAAAACTGAACAAAGTCGGTGCATCAATAATCATTTATGTAAAAGAATATCTCTGAACGTCGTACTTCGTATTTGTTATCTCATATCACGTATCGATTTGTTTTATTATGTAAGAAAATGTCTGACTCCATCTGGCAATACGTACGATAAATCTGGGTATAGTTTGGGGATAAAAATAATAGTAAATAATAATATTAGTACATCCAGCACATGCGATAAAAATCGACCGCTACTAATTATTAGCCATTTACGGCAAATTAAATGCTCAGAGCAACTTTATTAATCCTTTTTATATAGTTAACACGTTCAATAGGATAGTAGTTTGCTTGTCAGCGATCGATTTTCTATCGCATAGCTTCCCATATCCCATTTTCTCCAACACCTTCAATAACGTATGTTACATTTGCAATAAACTGATTCAGCAGCGTGTTATATCCGCACTAAACTAACTCAATGTGTATTATGCTTACGTCTACTATATTATGTACTATAAAACGAGTTAAGTACATTACGTCGCAGACGTGCGTACACTGTTAAACGTTCTCAAAACGTGGAGTTTAAATGTGTCAACCGGCCGTTCTCCATTTCGGTACAATGTAATAACCTAGTTAAAGAGAAGCTTTGCCCTAACGTTTAACTCATCCTAGTTATTCAACACGAGAGAGATATTGTCCGGAGGGGTTGAGTCATTTCACATTTCCGCGGGTATTCTCGCCGGCACATCCAGCCGCGGGCTTAAGCCATAAGAAACAGCTGAGGGAGAGAAAAAAAAAGCGCGCCTCCATATTTCACCGCACAATAATGCAATTCGGGCGATCTATAGACGTAGATGGTTTCGGGATTCGCTTTGAGGATTCTGCAGCTCGGCGCTTAAAATCTCTAAAATTCGGGGCGAAGAGAGAGAGAGAGCGTGCAAACGCAGAGACATCGCGCTTTGAAGAGTGTAAAGCGAGAGTACACGAAATTCGATTTCGCCCGCGAAAAAGTGATTTGCATCACGAATTTGGATTTCTGCACGGGCAGAAAGTGCCGCCGTGCAGTCATAAACCACTCCGCTGCCGAATTTTTAAAACGGAAAACTGGCAGAACATATTTTTAAACTTTGCCAGGGGGGAAAACTTTATACGGGTTGTAACTGGGTACCACCCTCCATATCGCATCAGATAAAGCGAATTTTACGCGTAGCCACGACGGTAAAAAATAGCATAGAGCGTAAAATTACGTAACATTACTTCGTGCTTATTATGGTGACGGAAACGTCGCCTAGTACATTTTTTTCGTAACACCATAATCGAGTTAAAGTGACGCGAGAGCAACGAAAAGTCTATTATATATGATTCCTCAAGCTTTTAGCGGAAACGCAGTTTAATGAAGTATATAAAGTACTTGCATTTTTCCTGACATCCAGATAAATGAAATTTTATATTGGGGTACTTTGTGAAGCGTCAGGCTAACTGATATGTATAAATGAAAGTAAAATATACAACGTGCGCGTTGTTAATTATTCAACGAGAAAATACACTTAATATAATTGCACTTAATTCTATAGAATATAAATTATATTATATGTTACATCAAATCGTCACAACAATATGGAGCTGTTGCTCCAGAATTCATATCGGCACGACAGAGAAACCTTAATGGAGTTCTCTCATTAACTGTACCGCTACCTCACACCAATACGTAATTTTAGTCGAAAATTATTCTCTTTTAGCGGATACGATTTTCATATAAATTTCGAGCTGTTTTAATAAACTGCCTATTTGCCCACTTGCGTTTAAAATTACCTTACGCCGTAAATTACTCAATATTATTGAACAATATGCTTGGTAAATGTCTATGTGACTGATAAATGACGGGAATAGAGGATACTTCGGTGATTTAAGCGAAAATGCTCCGCTTGAATAAGCGAAACGTGACGTTCTCCTATTCCTCCTATTCCTTTTAACAGCGCGATTATAATAACGTGCTAAAATGCTCAAAAAGTTCTTTCTTCGTTCATCTTTTAACATGTGCATACATCACCGCTGCACGAATGCGCCGAAAGTATACCCGCGTCATTACGGCCGGTAGGTACTTGTAATTACAACGCGCCCGTATCCGTTATTTGAACATTATGTAAGCGTGAATCCGCCCACGCGTACGAAATTTTGCATGTTGTAAGTAATTAAATGTCCATCACTTCGCGTGCGGGAGAAGGGTATTTCCGCGCGCGGGACGCGTGTAAAATCACTGATGAATTTACGAAATTAATGTTGCACACAGGCCATTCTTGTGTGTCGCGATTAGAAATTTATTAACGTTAACCGAATTTCACGCCGCGTATTATCACTGCACAAATAGATACACGCATACGCGTAATTCTCGGCTCGGGGCGCATCGATGAACGCGTTATTAACTGCGAAATCGACAGATTAATTTCCTTGCTCTCACGTGGAGGTGCGTCGATTATATTGAGGAAAAATTTAAACTTCGAAATACAGCATGTTGACTACAAGTTTATACCTATTTCTTCAAATACACCAACCATGTACAGTCAACATGCTGAATTAAGCCGTTTAAGTTTTCTTTTTTAACTTTCCTCATTATTATCGATGCACCTCCACGTCAATCTCTCGACTCAAATGCAATGTTACAATTGCTTAAATGTTCTCTTCTGAGTCCTTTTAACTCTTGTCAGAGCATGGTGGATCTCCCATCGTATTTCTGCGGCGTGCGCCATAATGTTTACAATTTTACGCAGATATACGCGGATCTATACAGTTTAACACCGGTTCCGAACAACCTTAACTTAATTAAGGGTTCTCACAGCAAGATACACTCTTTGTGTGATTTGCCATTGGCCTTCCAACAGGTAGCGATCGAATAAAAATCCGATGTTTCTTGATCGAATTTGAATCAAAGTCTTCGGCACTGAATGCAGACGCACAACCCTCTGCGCCGCACGATCGCTTTCGTTGATCATAATAAGTGAATGTAAATTATTATCGCGCGTTGATTTGTCATTATTTGTTTCCTTGTTTATACTTCCTTATACAATTACTACGATAAATATGACGCTGCGATATTATCGGAGAAGAAAGCGATATCTTACAAAATGCGGTTTTACCATTTGCAACTCTACGTGTTAGAATTGTCGACATATATACTGTTCATAAACCAATCTCTCTCGCAATAATTACTATCGCCTCTCGATAATTATGATTAGATTTAGGTAACGTAACCGTTATAATGAGGGGCTCTTCCGGTAAATCAAATGCGCTATCAATTAATTGTGAAGCGATGGCAATTCTAATTCTCATTAAATAATGAGATTTGCATAATGGATTTCTTCGTAATATAAAAGAACGTGCTATCACAGGACGGAAAATTATCACGCGCTAAAGAAGAAAAAAACAATAAGCCGGGAACGTGTTGCGTGTTCTTTCTGATACCCGATAAAAATGTAATTAAAGAGATAAAAATGTTGAAAGGGTTAATAATATAGTATTTAGATAAATTACTTAGAAAAATGCGCTGGTATACATATAAATTCGTTTTATCGTGAAAGACCTCGGTTTTATCGAACTAAAACTCTGAATTATAGGTCAACTAATCGCATAATACCGCACATAATATCTAATAGGAATTAATTTTACTAACACTTTTTATTTAATTAAACCGCATAAAGAACTCGGAGAGGCAAATACGAATTTACGAATAACACACGTCCGACTATGATATATTTTCGCTTTGTGTCGTTAATTTGTAATGCTCTTATTCGCTTATTGCTGTTAGCGTTGCTTCTCTCGTTACACGAGATTATAGAACTCGATGACATTCAACGCTTTTGCTAACGAATCGTCCTGCACTGTTCCATTTCGATCCCGTGTCCTGCAAAATTGTCTCTCAGCGCGATAAAAATTAGATCGACGGAATGTAAGCGAGCAACGTGAAAAATTCTGAAGGAAGAACGAAATAGCCGCACCGCTGAGCTTCAAGCATGAATCGCAGCTTGAAATTCTTCAACACGGTCAGTTTGGTGTATAGGAAATATAAATAAATTCCCGGTGAGCCGTACCTAACTATCCACGGTGAATTTAAAGCGGAAATGTCGCGAATGCCCGCGGGATATCTGCGAAAATCTCACGGTCCCCGCAGCTGCTCGTTGAAAGTCGGTGGACGCAAGAGGTTTCCGGGAGTGACAAGAACCCGCGAGCAGGCGAATCCGACGGAGTTTTCAGGCGGAGCGTTTTCTTATAGGCAAACAAAACCAGGAAATCGCATTGCCATTGGCTACGGACTTAAAAAGTCTCGTAACCGGCTTATCGGGTTGCGAACTCTCAGAAATTTTCGGACGCGGAGGAAATTGGAGGAAAATGAACGTTGAATTTCCACCGGAGAATGAGGGAGGAATCTCTATATCCCTTGTCATGTTAGACGTATCTTGAAAATGGCGGTGATTAGAGAACATTCCTGAAGATTTTGAAAAGAGAATTGGCAATCCCGTTAAATTACTTTTTTTTGCAAAGAGTGCGTATTTTCCTTACTTCTTTGTGCTCTAACAGAAAATCGATATTTAAATTAATTCCGATGTATTATGTATATGTGCACCCTGAGGGATGCAATTTTTGTTTAAGCGAAAATTAGCCGTTAAAGATTATTGAAGCTCTCAGAAATCCATGAAATTTTTATATCTTGAAATTTCCCGTTTAACGTTTACCATTTTTTGTTAAACGATGTTTATATTCAGCAACGTAAATTAAGTAATTCCGGACTAACAATTCAACGAGGAAATCTTATTTATATCTTATTTATATTTCGTAAGCTCCTGAACGAGAGCGCAATTCCCTTGTAAACTTTCGCCGAAGCGTTACACCACCTTCACGCTGGAATAAGGTATCCGCGTTACTCTCTTGAAAGCGTAGGTGCGATAAAACACGTTCTATAATGCAACCCACTGCCATCCATATGAATTCAAAGTAAATGCCGGTGCGCAGATTTGTTCCAGGATCAAAAGCGTCAGCACATTTTTCCAACGAGAAAAAAACTATTTACGTAAAGAAAGTGACTTTTTACCCCTCTTTTGCCGCTTCTGTCACCGTTCTCTCTCTCTTTCTCTCTCTCTCTCTCTCTCTCTCTCTCTCCCTCCCTCTTCCTTTCTTTCTCTCTCTTTCTCCCTCCCTCCGTTCGTTTCTCTACATCCGCTGTGCTGTCAGGTAGGGGGAGTGCAATTGAAGGCAAATGCAATTCCCGATATTAGATTCGCCATTCGCTCTCTATTCGGATCCTGCGCCTTTTCTTCTCGTGTTCCTCTTGTATTGAATACCGTTCACCGAGTTTGGCCGGTGAATTATCGGCCGATGTTTTCTGCATGACTTTGCGAGAGGCATCAACGACCAACCCCACTAATACCAAGCCACACGTATAATAATCGCGCAGTTTGATAACCGCCAGTTCGCGCGGGAGAAATAAACTAGCGGCACGTTGAAGTTTAAAAAAAAATGTAATTAAAATTTAACTTTCGTTAAATATAATCAAAAGTCGCGGGTAACGTCCTGTTTAATCCTTTCGAATAAAAATTTTTACGAACCGAGGACGCCCGAGAGAGTATTCATGAAACGCTCATTACAAAAACAACGATGGCATGATTAATGCGTGGATATACGCATATAATTAATTTGATAGTTACAAATTCTATTTAAATGTAAAATAGTTTGTTGCAAGATACTTCGCGAAAGTTTAATGCGCGTACAAAATTCCAAGTGTGCGTAATAGCTCGCGGGGGCAAACTCGAACGTGAGTCTCACGGTCTGCACCGTGATGTACGTGACGGCCCGTTACCCGTTCGCGAAATCTATCGACGCTAATGGATATACCTACATGTACGGCGGCGAGGAAGGGAGGGGGGGGGAGAGGAAGAGAGGGCGGATATGCATCGTCACCGATTAACACGGTTCTATAAGCCATTTTTATCGTAAGCTGTGTGTCCCTGTAGAAGCTTCCGGGATCGATTTAACGATACCGAAATGACAGTTTTCGAATATTCCATTAACCGTGAGTTTCCGGAGATAGGCGCGGAGGACACTCGGAGCAAGCACTGAAAAGTTGTCCGTCAGGCTTGTCTATCGACATCCCTATCGCCGCGACGACGTACGTACAAACGTTTCGGCCGTTACGCTAAATAAAATCATTAGCTAAATAATACAGGCTCGGCTGTATGTTAAATAAACAATAACTAGCTAAATAATAGTACACTGTCACCAGCTAAATAAACAACAATTCATATATCTAGGTATTATCACGTTGCTGCTCTCGTCATGGCGCAAAACACACTTGCATAATTTAATTTAATACAATCACAGTGAACAGCAGCCCGTAATTCTGCGAAACTTCTAAAGTTCTTAAAAAAAATCTACATATTTCCTATTTTAAAGTTTATAAAGATATAAGCTAATAGCCGTTGTACTTCATGTAACTTCGGAAAAGTATTGCACGCGTGAACCAAACTGCTCGCAAAGTAGCGAAAGAAGCGACATATATACACGTCATCTTTTGAGCCAGTTGTATTCGCTCGCGAGAGTAACGTGATTTCGACGCACGCACGCCGAAAGACAACGGGGACGATATGAAATTGTTGAAATTGACATTTCGCACGTCTCTCACGCACATATATATCCACAATCACGTCGATCTACCCTCAATTACACATGCCAACCCTAATGTCGCTTCTGTGCCATGCGAAGCCTAGATACCACACGATCGTCATTACAAGGCGCCTATAACTGACCGTTAGCGGCTGTATTTCATGTGGCCGATACACAGAGAAGATCGTACGTTTAGACAGGCAGCTATGGAAATCGCCAAATGCGACGCGTGAGCTGCATGTCTTTGATGCAGAGATACAAAAGGCACCGCCGCGAACTTAAATATTAATATATTAAAAAAAAATCACGAGTGTTTAAGCCGTAAAAAGATATTTACGATTCATTAGCTGTAATACTGGACAATGCGAGAATATAAAAAAATAGTAGTCATAAAGGGACAGAGCGGACGGTGGCGAACATAGGTGGATTTTGCCCGTTCTCGTGTTTCCTTTATCGAAAAAAAAGCGTTCATATATCCAGTTTATAATGAAAATAATAGTCATGTCATATATCGCAAAAGTCCAAAATATATTAAATTTAACGTATGATCGATTTACTGACTCAAATTACCATGAATATTAAATGATGAACGTTAAATATTTGTCAAATAAATAAAGGATATCCGGATTATTCCAAATTACATATGTAAAAGTTGGAAAAGTCGATGGCTAATATTGATTTTAAGACAATTTTTCTCTTAATGAATAATTTATATATTAAAAACAAGAAATTAGAACCTATATATTAATTTATTTAAAATCATCTCGATCTGAAAATAATCTCCTTTCTTTCTTGCAATATTAAAGATATGGAGGTTGATCGAGATATAATTTCAAAGTATAATTTAAAGTAAAATGAGAATGTCTTATAAAGAAACATTAATTTTAATGCCGTCTCATGGTTAGCTTGATTTAGCTGAGTAATTGACAGTCCGGTCCTCTTGCATTAATGTAACACTTGCCTATTCTCTTTGCAGTACGTCCGTTAAAGATGGACTTAAATGGAGTTGTCGGTCATGTCGTGCAAGGAACGAAGATTTTATTGCAGTGTACGGTACAGGCCGCACGACCCGCCGCCAATGTGACGTGGAAGAACGGAACGCACTCTTTAAACGAGGACGATGAGAGATTCGACATGTTTGAGACAAAAATACAGGAAAATGTGAGTAGATACTACGATATTGTAATTGCAAGTCAAGGTAGGACTACAAATAAGGAAATTTTATTTAATAATTAATTATAAGGCTACTTTTGGCATTCCAGCTTAAAAAACATAGCTAATTTCATTTATCGTTAAAGTCTGGTAAAATTATTTCTTTTTTTTTAGTAGAGGAAAGATAGTTTTCAATAGAAAAACATATTTCGTATCCATTACCGAGTAACGTGAATAGAATTCCTGATACAGTAGATTCTTAATAGGCTTGAATTTCGCATCAGCCTCACCGCCATTTGCATTTAAATAAATGTACGGGATAAGCATGTTTGGTGGTATGCGACAATGAATGAGAGAAGCGCTTCGCGAAAGTTTTGATTCAGTTACTTACTCGGCAAAAGCGCACAGACTCGCAAGTGCCACAGTAAACTTCGCAAAACTACCTACCGGGAAATTCTAAATCGATCGGTACAGCACCTATCGTACATTTTAATTCCCATTTAACGTTTTTGCGGAGCAACAAATTTTCGTGTTTCACCCCGGAAAAAAGTGGCGGAGTCGAAACGAATTTAGAATCTAGGAAGTTTCGACAGTTTATCGGTCGATGTACTTCTCGAGACTTCTTTTCGAATTATCCAGTTTTTATCAGTTAACGATTTATATTTGTGCAAAAACGGAATTTTCGCGCAATTTTTCGCCATTTACTGACGGTTTATCCTATCATTCTTTCGTCGGGATGAAAGTTGTCATACACAATTTCTTTCGACTTTGCTTCGCAAAAGCTACTGGCGAACGTACAATGGAAAGATACGTCGCAAAATTCTGAAGAGAATTAAATTCCGATAGCTCGCTACTGAAAAGAACACATTTTAAATTAGATTTTGGAATCTAGAACAATTGTATTCCCTGTGAAATTGTTAAGTGAAACAAAATAAAAGTTGGTTTGGAAATGAAAGCATCAAGGAATCGTCATCGTTTACTTTCGAGTCACGTGACTCTGTTTTATTCTCGACTTGTAAAAAATCAATTTCACGCCCGAACGAGTAGCTGCACGGCAGCGGCGGCATCGAAAAATCATTAGACTCCTCTACATATCGTGTCGTTGCGCTATCGCGTATACGTGTATATGCATGCAGAAGTCGTAGGCGACACGCAGCTATCATAAATCCATTACGGAAGTATCTGAAGCTATAAAGCCGCGTGCCCGCAAAATGACGGCATACGAGACCGCCCCGCGCCTACGTGATGCAATTAGTGCAAAAAGAAAAAAAAATGTCGTCACGGTTAAAAGTCGTAAGGTAGATAAAACGACGCCGCGTCCCGATAGCGGAAGGTTCTTTATGCACGAAAAATGTTGTCTCGCGAAACGTAAACGTCTATCAACTGTCTTTATTATTCCGCTCTCTATGCGTCGACATACACATGAATTGAATTAACAATATTATATGAAATATCATTAAATCAAAAGTAAATCTGTTAAACGTTCAAATCAACGCTGAAGATCACTATTCTTCAATATATATTATTCAGTATATTATACATACGATAATCTTCATATCAACGGTAATTGTTATCTTCGCGTGCAAATTTAACGTTGCGCCGTAATATCTTCATAAATATAAAAATGCATTTTCTCTTGAATTTTAATATAAGCGTTTGATAGCGATGAAATACACGAGATAACGCATGAACGACGAATTTAATTCGTTTTGCGGTGTTAATTAACGATGTTTGAAGGACTACTGTCCTCCCATTGCGTCTCGGGTGGCGCGTCGGCAAAGTTAACGAATCGTTATTAATGAAACCGTCAGTTCGCATAATTGCGATTATTGATTTCGTACTTTGTAACATTTGCAATTCCGTATGAGTGGGATATCATAATTAGCATTGTTTACTAAGCGAGCCTGATTACAGGAGCGCGACGATGCGACCGAATCCGTTCAGGACATTGCGCACGATAGCAGGTGGCGGCGTATCTATTCAGGCGAGGCAATTACATGCCACGAATTCCTGGCCCGATATGAGCGTCACGTCATAGCGGGATTAAGAGGATCACATTTTTAAGCTCGAGTACACTCTTTCGTGCGAAGTAGGATATTATAAGCTCAGCGGGAGATGGCTTTACAACAGTTTCTCGACAAGCGTTATTCTCGCACTCTGCGGTACACTTTTACGGATTCTCTTAACAAATTGATTGACGCTATTTTTAGGGAAAAACTTCACCTTTTGCTGGATTTTCAATTGCTGAAAAAACAAAGGAATTATACGGTCAGCTTTATGATCGCGAATGTATGTAGATATAACAGGGTATACATTTTTCGTTATACGTGTATCGACTGTTATCGTATTTTCAATGCTCCGTGCAATTATTACGGAATTATTAAAGTTACGCGGAGCTTTAAACGCGCGCTTGCGGTATTGCATTACTTTTATTTTTCGCAAATTGGAGATTGATATGGAAATCCAGCATTTTTTCATGAATCACGAACGTTCGGCAGCGATCAAAAACATATTATAGAAATATGATAACGTGAATATTTTGAATACGTGTTGCGAGTTAATTAGAAGAATCTATCAAAAATAGGTCAAAACTAATTGGATCGGTTCTACTTTTTGCGTTTCATTTTTTAACTTAGAGATTTAAATTTCTGAGAATCTGCATAGCTGCATTACATTACTGTATATTTTTTTACTGCGTATAAATATACTTATCACCAGTTTTATTATTCAAACATAAGATTTGTTAATGACTTGTAAATGATGATCTAAATTATTTCCAAGAGGAATAATTACAATTCTTCAACTTCTTTGTTTATAGGAGGATGATACATTCGATACGACAAGTTTTCTCGCGTTTACAGCAACGGTATACGACAACGGCAAAACATTCAAGTGCTACGCCGAGAATTCGGTTACTCGCACCGAAGATCTGAAGCCAATGAAGGAAGCAACGACGATCGAGGTGTTATGTAAGTATTGCAAGACAATATCGAATTAGTCATCATTGACATGAATCATTCTTTTGCAACAATGTATTTTGTGACCGATAAGACAATTTTAATTTCAATTTTTTTACGATTAAACATATTCTTTTATTTACTCATCCCAAGTATCATAATTTTAATTTAAAAAAATATATATATATATAATTTTATATCATATGTATCTTTTTCAAAAAGAATAACCGCAAAGAGATTGGAAACAAAATTTTCATACAGAATCATATCGTAGTATTAGATTGGTTCAGAAAATACGAAATTTAATTTCATCTAATTGTAAGCAAACATTGAGTAATCTCATAAACAAATTAAATTTGATAACATCTAATTTTCCATTTCACTAGTAATAACAACGGTATACAAATTGTAATCCGTAATTTTTAACAGTTACAATTACGGTTAATAGCGTTAAAACAACAACTGTTGCAACAAGATTGCATTGTAACCCGAAATTCACACATTTCCGTACCGCAGCGAGCATATTCTGCATCTACGGGAAACTGCGAGCTGCAAGAGCGGTTATTAACATTTGCATACACTTAGCCCTTATGAACTAAATCCTTTAAATAAATAACTCTCTCTACACATACATGCACATACCCGTTCGCTATTCATCAGCATAATGCTATGCAAATTAACGTAACTTGGCAACGCGAGCAATCAGTAGAATCTTAACTTGCTGTCGAATTCAAAAACTCGTTCCTTATCTCCGCAATTAAATGTGCAATACGTAAAATTTACTCACAATCACGGCGGGAAAAGGCTAAGATTGAGATTTTAAGACCGGTCGTTTTAAGTTAGGAAATTGTAATAGGATTGAAGATTTATTCCTACCATCTCTTTGCAAAGACTTCCGGCCATTTATACCTCTATACTCGAAATCGCTTTCTGAAAATAGAACTTTAGTAAAGGAATAAAAATAAAAAATAATAATTGAAAATCCTCCAGGTTTCAATTTACACAGCAGAGATCAAAGCAAACGTGTTCGCAAGGAACGATTGAGAATTTTGAAATGATAGAAGTTAAGAAGTTTCATATAATTCAAGAATATTTTCCGTTTGACCATCTGATAAACATTTCTCTTGCCTTTTAAAAGATTGGTTCATATAAATCGCACAACGTTTATACGATTTTCCAGTTGCATGCTTCGGTAGATCAACGCATTGATCTATATGCCGATACGCTATAGACAAACAACTTTTACTGATCTATCTGTAGATGTTTTTACAAATATTTTATTGTGAAATTACTTAATTTTTAATAATTTCAGTAAGGCCGCTGTGTGTATATAACAAATAAATAAAGCGAAATAGCCGAAGACGGCCGAGGCAAGATATTGATGCCTAATAATTTCACAAATAATTAATTAAATTATTGCAATATTAAACAATATTAAAATTTGTTTTATTATTATATTTAATATCTTATGATGCATAAATAATTTGTCTGTCTCTCTCTTTCAAGTCAGTCCTTCATACTAAAGATCGTGATCTTCATTTTATGCAATCACTCGAGAGCTCTCTACTGCTTGAAGCACATTCACAATTATCAAAAAGTGATAATTCTAAAAGAAATCGCAATTAAAATAATTAAAATAATTATTTTATATTACATAACCAGAACATTGGATTATATAGCTAGAAAATTTCTCTCTAGCATTCCACGATAAGATTATATGTTTTCTCTAAAAGTGAATCAGTGGAATTATTATTGATTTCAGTTTTCAATTCTGTTTGACAGTGAAATTCACTGTCTTTCAGTGATATTCCTTGTTTGAATCAATATATTATCACTGAAACAATTTTGAATGTTGCCAGAACACTGAAAATCAGTGATGATTTCACTGATTCACTTTTAGAGAGTAGGTCTTTATTAAGATTATTATAGATTTATGACTTAACGTGTTTAACTCTGAAATCGGCAGTTACAACTTTTTTCATTGAGGACGTGACGTCTTGATTACGTGAGCACGGAAACGGACAAAAAGAGACGGTTGTGTATCTCCCTGATGTTTCCAGTTACAGTGCGAAATGGCGGAGAAACTTTCGTTTTGCAGCCAGAACGAGGACTACCCATGGATTGGAAACGAGAAACTCCAGACATCGAGTTTGGCACGTTTCCAACTCTCCGGCTTGCATCGTGACAGCAACTCTCGCGTCTACGTATTTACGAGAATTTTGTTTTATATCCCCCTCCGTTTTCAAGGGCCTACGTTAAGTGTATAATATTGTGACCTGGACGCATCTAAATTTTACATCCAATTTAAGTTTAGCACTATTCACCTTGGACAAGAAGCAGTCACGAAGATAAAAAGAACTTTACGGTTTTAGATATTGAAGAAAAAAAGGAGAGAAATTTTTACTTCGCAAAAAAAATGAATTCATTAAAAGCGCTTGATCTTTGACACGCAACAAGATTTTAAGAAAGGTTAAACTGACATTTTACACTCTATTTTCACACTAAAATTATAATAAAATGCTTAATCTTTCTTGCTTAAAAATAATTAAAAATAATCAAATTGTCAGTATCAACTTGACAAATATCAAAAGAAGGAAGACATGCTGATATAAAAATAATTGTATTAAATTTTTTAATACAATTAAAAAAGATAAAAATTATTTATTTTTAATTAAACAGAGATTTATATTTAGCGATTACCTCGCGTTTTCCTCTTCATAATTGGAATTTTCTCTGACAATTCTAACTCTGCGGTTAATACAATCTAAATTTTGCACAGTGATTTTCATCGTTTATAATACTTTACTGTTTTATGTGTTGCAGATCCGCCGATAATTAAAATAAAACCGAGCAACATAACCGTTAACGAGACGGACGACTTTTTAATATTCTGCGACTACGAAGCAAATCCGGCCACGCTATTAAAGGTGACGTGGTAAGTGGCCATTATATACTACGTAAAGGAAGATATATACTAGCATGAATTAATCCTTTAGGATAACGATCATTTTCCTGTGGGAAATAAAGGCTGGTTTTGTTAGATAAATTAGCAGCGGAGCTGAAGACATTTATGTTTTACTCTCGCCGCTTTTACATCTTAAAAAAATAAGTCGGCGTTATTTCTTCGCGTTTCATTTCTCCCTATAAATCGGATGAATGCAGGTTACGAGATGACGACGAATTAAACGTGCTAAACGAAGAACATTACGACGGTGGAATCACGGAACAAACAGCGCTCACGGTGAAAAACGCGACTCCCAGCGACATGGGTTCTTACAAATGCATCCTGGAAAACAACGCCGGTCCGACCATTTCCGAGGACGCCGTGCAGGTTTCGGTCTTCTGTACGTATCGCCTTTCGCACGAGACAGAGATAACAGCGGGCAATCGCTGAGCGCGGAATATGGAGCAGTCGATAAAAATCTAAATCTAAAATCGCTACAATCTCGCGCGGATTATAAAAGCTCCGGTTGGCAATAAATCTAAATCCGAAAGGATCCCCATTATTGTGCTTTCGGCGAAACTTCTTATCTTCTTATTTCTCGCGGCGGTAACTTTCAGCGGAGCGCAGTTCATCCTTTTATTAGAAAACGACAGCTTCATTGAAAGCTATGCGATTACATCGGGAATAAAGTTGGCGCGAAAGAGAGTTCGGTGCCCGCGTATACGTACGTATGTACGTACTTTCGAACTCGCACGCGCGCACGAGATTTATACCGGCCGTGCGAAATGTATATATCGCGTTTTATCATGTCAGATAAGCCGGTGGTCGAAGTGATAATGGATCCGGAAACACCTGTGAACGAGGCGGACCGTCAGAACGTTTCGCTGACGTGCGAGGTCGACGCCGGTAATCCGGCGATACTGACAGCCGTCCGTTGGTACTTGGACGGTGATCTATTGAAAGAACTTCCGGACTGCTCGAGGAATAGCACCGCCACGGCGGCGAGCTCCGAGGAATCGTTGGCATTCTGTGACATCGACCCCAGCAAGCTGCTGCTGGAATCTGTCGGCCGCACCTTCCACGGCAACTACTCCTGCGAGGGGAAAAACGAGGCTGGATGGGGACCGGTCTCTCCGAGCACGCCTGTCACAGTTTATTGTAAGTCCTCTCTGTCACCCGTCACTCATTCGTGTTGCGCGATGATAGAAGACAAACTGATGGCGATGCCCATTACCTACGTTTCCAACGTCATAATACACTCGGGGAAATGTTTCGCTGTTCCAGCTCGAATTTTAAATATTACACTTAAATTACATCGCTGTTTTTTCATATCTGCTAAGAAATTGTCTGTCATACGTAGAATTCATAGTAGCAATATTCTAAGAATATATACAAGAAAAAATATAGGTCTCATAACCAAATGTGATTAGAGTGTCTGGATTGATTAAGAAGACTGATTAAGAAAGTCATAGAGGAACTTTCATGCTAAATTTGACAAATAGTTCAGATATAATTTCTATCTCTATTACCTATCTTGATTAAATACATATGTGGTATCGCAGTGCTTACTAATCACTTATCCGTTTTAACTAATTTTTCGTACCTAAATAATTCTCGCTATAATTGCAAGATTACTTTTTTCAAGTGTACGTTATGCCCGTGTTTTGTACGTGTTTTGAATTTCCATAATATTTTCCCCAAACAAAAATTATATTTTACATTAGTTATCAATAGATATTTATGAGATATGCTATTATAAATAATAATCCTCGAATCTCGTCTATATTATCAAATAACACATTGTTAAGAGCGGTCGTTTATGTTCAACACTAATTGTTGCAGCAATAAATTATCGATTGCGGACTTTATCTCATATATGTACGCGACCGATATCGTTTACCTACGATATCTTATTACATTAATCCGATTATATATTTAGCGAATATCAGTTACTCTCCCCTTCTCTCTCTCTCTCTCTCTCTCTCTCTCTCTCTCTCTCATACACACACACACTCTGCATCCCTGAAACATTTCCGCAGATAAGCCCGGCCCGGCATCGATAACGTACGAACCTCGGCAAGTGGTGAAGAAACAAGCATTATCCATCACTTGCTTCGTTTTGGACCCCGGCCGGCCGAGGGTCTCGGGCTTCAGGTGGCAGCGCGGCTCGCACCGACTTCCAGACGAGAACGAAGCCACACTCTTCATCGAGTCAGTTAATTTGGAAACCGAGGCGAATTTCACGTGTCTGGCGTACAACGAGGCCGGTGACGGAGAGCCAGCCACAACGTTTATCGACGTATCGGGTGAGTGACATACGTCAATGCGTCTAAAATTGTATCCAGCAATTACTGGATTTCATGGCGACATTTTAGAATCCGTCCATCGGTAACATATTTTTGAAGATTCAAGTAATTCAGTTTATTTTCTGCAGCACATTCGGAACGTATATTTTTGGCCAAATTCAATTTAAAAAATCGGAAGAAAATTCTAGATTACTTAACTTTTATATATATCACAAGCTTGACACTGTTTCATCTCTTTTTTTTTCGAATATTGCCTAACGTAGCACGTAAAGTAATATAGCATATCTATTCTTATACGATAAGTCTGACATGAACATTAAGATTTTATATTGAACGGAGCTCTTCTATTCCTAATAATGAACGACATAATGGATTGTCCGACGTTTCTCGCGTAATTATTGAAAATGACAAATTCCATTATGCTTAACCGAGAGTTATCGCTTCTCATTAGCGGCCCCGGCGTTCATTAAGAAGCTCCCCTCGTACCGCGGCAACGTCTACAACTCGCGTAACGTGAGCATCACGTGTTGGGTCGAATGCGCCCCGATCTGCAATATTTCCTGGCTGAGGGATGACATTCCCATGGACTTCACGAAAACGAATCGATACTACGTGTCGAACGTTTATCATCCGCCTGACCCAAGGACCAACGACTTCGAGAGCATCCAATCGACCCTCGTATGGAATCTGACGGTCTGGCCGAACGGTCAGCTCGACCGTGCCGAGGATAACGTCAAATTCACCTGCAAGAGCAGCAGCAACGGGATCGGCGCGGGCGTGGAGAGTAGTACTCACTTTCATGTCGAGTGTACGTTTCATTCGAATCTCTTTCTTTTTTTTGCGCGCGCGGCGATATCTCTCTACCTGCTTACATTCCATTTATAACGCTCCATTTTGCGAGATTGTAGAGAGAAGAGAAGAGAACAAAGATCTTCTTGTTCCACACCATAAGAGAGAATTCTATGAACTTAATGCAGTACAAATATAAAAGATTCCTGACTTAATCCTGACGAGTTTCTTCGAGTAAAGTGCTGTTTTTAAGCACATTAAAAATATCTATAAATTAAGAGAGGAAATGCATACAATTTTAAATATAGAAGCTTATTTTTAATTTACAAAATTATGTTGCGTGTAGACTTTTCGTATTTTTTGAAAATAAATGACTAAATTCGATTTTTTATTCAAGTCCCTCCAGAGGAAATCACAATATCGAGGAAGATAATCCATGTGATCGTGGACACGATACCCGAAACCGTCGAGTGCAACGCGAAGGCGCGACCGACACCGAACTTTCGATGGTTTCGCGAAGGACTATCCACTGATACCATTATGGAAGGCCACGTGTTTGACTGGAAAATGCCAATACCACGGCGTAGCAATGGCACTTACTATTGCGAGGCGTGGAATCGTCATGGCTCCTTGAATATCTCAATGATCATGAATGTGCAATGTACGTTTCATATTGCGTCTTTAGATTTTTAAATGACTAGTCAAAAAAATTTCTACATTTGTGCAATTCTAAATGTATGTACAGTTGTGGACACATCGGTTGCGACACTTTTTTTATAGGTTTCCAATATATATTTAATATACATAACATATACTTTATAAATAACTAATATTTTGCAAATGCGAACTGCGATGTACTATCTTTAGTCTAGAGACAGTATAACACCAATCGTGGTCCGCATTTGCAAAATATTAGTGTGTTTTGAAACCTATAAAAAAGAAAGTGTCGCAACCGATGTGTCCACAACTGTACATATTATACGTATTGAAAAAAGAGCGAGAATTAATTCTTTTTGTCATCTAGATTACGTCGAGACGTTCATCCTTTATTTTAATGTTAAAATATATTTTTCTGCGCTCGCTCCTCTCCTTTTCTCAAAATATCATTACGAACATATAAAAATTCCTTTAAAAAGTAATCTCAATTTTTCCACGTGCTCCTGACGTCTAACGGCGATGTCGTATTTTCCATGCAGTTAAACCGGAATGCCATATAGAGAAAGAACGATTCGACGGCCAGGATTATGTCGTTTGCTCAGCCGTCGCCAATCCGAAAGAGACGGATTTCACTTGGTCATTGAAGAACGAAAACGACACGCTGGAGCAGATCGCAATAATGCGAAACGGAAAAAGTTACATGCTCCTCGACACCTCAGTGACTAACTTCCGGACGTACGTGTGCGTGGCGAACAACACAATCGGCCACTCCGTAGCGTGTGAACGCGACATACCAGGTACAACGAACTTTTCATTGATTCGCTGATATCGTGCTTATACCTGCAAAAATAGCAGTATTTTTTGAAACGCGCGTTTCTACCTGGATTATTTGAAAATATTGTCGCGTTCCGAAATAACTTTTCTATATCGATTAAAATATGAAAAAAACACATGCGAAAATATTAGCATAGTGTAATATAAAAACTTCTTTGTAACGACTGTGCACGGAGTTTGTAAGTTTGCATTATATGATTGAAGCATTGTTGAGACTAAAACAGAAAGCGAAGTTTTCCAGTGTGTTATAAATGAATTTTACGCACATACGATAAAATCAAATCACTACAGTATATATAATATCGAAAGTGCAATATAAATTTTTACATACTTACAATAAATTAATATAATTTTACATAAATATCATCTCTAAAATGCAACTATTTCGTAATATTGTTTCTTTACTCGTATTATATTAAATAACGATTTAATATTTTTGAGTAACAAACATTCAGTAACACATTTTCATAACCTATTAAATTATAATGAGAATAACTGTGTCAATCATAAATATTTAGCAGAATTTATCGCTTTACAGCCCACCATGGAACTAAAAGTAAGTCGTGCCTGTGTCATTTCAAGCTTTATGTGTATAATATATTTTATGTATAATTACTATTTGTGTACGTATATAATTATTATTAGTTATACTCAATAGTATATCATAATAAAAAATCATATATATTTTTTCACTTTTAACACAAATTTGATTAATTTTAAATGTAATATATCGCGATACGCACAAGGAAAAATCTCATTCCCCTTTCCTCTATTTAATACATTTATCTGCAGCAAAAGTTATCATACAGTTAAATTGAACGTTGTTACCTTTCTGTACTCCCGCTTTCAGTATTTTTTATTTTAACAGAAACAATGAAACCGTTTTTAATGTATCATTGTCCTTGTATATATCGTTTCCATGTTGTTGCCGATTGTTGTACATTACAACCTATCGCGTTACAGGTCATATACCTTGGTGGCATCAACTGGAGGGTAATCTGCTACTGATTATTATCGTAGTGGCGGTGGTCATGATATTGGTCCTAATACTAATCTGCGTGGCCATTTACATCGTGTGCCGACGAAAACGCAGCCAAATGAAATGTAAGTTATCACTGATATATTATATCGTTATTTACGACGGCTCGCTCGTCGCAGCGATTTGCATGATCTAGGTCGTAAAATGGGATTTCTTCAAGCTCTTTAATCAAAATCAAATCGATAACTTATATAATTATTTCGAGCGTGAGAATAGCGTGCAACTTCTAAATTTTGTCACTTTTGAGAATAATTTATTTTAAGACCGAAGTGAGAAATCCAATATTCCGTGCAAAATCTGAATCTGCATATGCATATCTGTATCCGAAATATATTTCTGATAAGGCTTCGAAGAAATTCGATCTAACAACCTGTAATCTAACTATTATTACAGTTATATTATTATGGTCTAATATGATCAATATATATGTTTTACATCTATATATATATATATATATATATATATATATATATATATATTTAAAATGGCTCATAAATAAACGTTAATATTAATTTATCTTCATATCTTAAAATATATTCGTCCTAAGTTAGAACGTTGCAAAGTAACGATGTTTCTTCCATACGCCTTGACGATATATTCTTTTATTCCTGCCAGTAAAAACATGTTATGATATCATCTCTGTGTTCATATTCTAGTATATTTCATATTATTAATGTAAATGTAATTTATTAATGTAAAAAGTATTTTCCACGTAGTTAACACACCACTTATTCTTTTAAGTTTTTATTAACTATTTACTTGTGTTCACTTTTATACTTTTTCTGATTTAATTCAATGTAATATAAAATATTCTTAATGGCTTAAATCACGCGTAATCGTAAGTACATCAAAGTTATTTTAATCACATGATGTAAAACATTAAATTGATTTATTCATATGATCTTTATTTATAAAACGTATTTATAGAACGAGTATATTATTTCAAAAGACCTTTTATATTTCTTGACAAAGTTCTGTTAATCCAGTCCGCGCAAACAGATGTAGATATATCACACATTGTATACAATATTATATTACCTTATATAGTTTATGCTAAGTAGAATAAAAGCATGCTCACACACTATTTGATATTTCTGTATAATGTAGCTAAACAATGTGAGATTTCCATTTAGATGGAGATATTTATGAACAATTAAAAAGAAACACATGCTACGCTGCTGTAATGTTGGCCAATATTAAATTATTCGGTTTTATTAATTTTCTTCTGTTATACAATAAATGTAATTTCAAATATAAATTACAATACTACATTGCGGTACGTTGATATTATCCTCATCAAATTTAAAGCTATGTTAAATATGAGGCATAATACCGCACAAATGAAATAACTGTGCAAGAAATAAATTAAACAAGAATACAGAGAAAATTTTTTGTCATCGAGTCCAATTCTGTAATAATCACAGAGGAGATAAGTAGAGTACATACATATATATTTTAATATAAATTTAATCTCTGTTTGAAATGAATCAAATTAAAGGTTTCCATTTCATAAATTAAATTTATTTTTTAAATTAATGCAATGTACTAGTCTGAATATAAAAATATTTTATACTCATCGATTTTCAAGAAGAGATTTTATATAATTTTATATCGTATACATATTGTTAGGAAGATATATATATAACAATAATTACAGAAAGAAATATAATAACATTAACAATGAGATTTAATAATAAGCAGTGAAACTAATTTAAACCACCAGTATAATAGTATCCATTAAGTTAATATTCGTTTATTAAAATATTATAACACAATAACATCAAATCGTGCTAATTTTGGATTGGCAACTAGTCTGGACTCTTTAATATACAACACATTTATTTATTGTTTCAAATTGTATTATTGCGCGCTAAGAATAGACATTAATTAACAACGATCGATCTGAGGTTTTTACTCGTAAAGCAATATAATATTGTTCGCTACATATTACTTCTCGAATTAAATGTATAACATTCAGGTACAATAAGGTTAACAACACTATAGTCAGAGAGACGGAATCTATTTTCAGTGCCTTTCTCAGCACAGCTGCCACTTAAAGTTAATCGTTCCATAATAATTGCGGCAAGGAGTACGTTCGCATCCGCAGTAGTAATTAATTGCTGAAATTCTTCCATCTTGTTTCTCAACTTTTTCGCGATTTTTTAATGAATTGCTTGTAATTCTAACAATATAACTTTTGCAAAATAAACGCTGCAGATATTCAACAGAAATTGAATGTAGATACTAATAAGGTTATAAAGTTGTAATTGCTACGTTGTTTCAATGCTTCGGACGTTCATTTATTTCAAATTATTTAACTGGTATTTTTTAACTTTAACTATTTAAAAAATTTTCGCCATAGCATAGAAAATGTAACAATAAATTTGCTTTAAAAGTTATGCATCTTCAGTGTTCTTTATAATGTACATATAAAGTTATAACAAGAAAATAATTTCCACTTGACAAAAAGAAATATACTCACATGAGCTTCGTATAAGATTAATAACAATTAACAGTTAACGTTATGGCAGCGAGCATGTGTTTGTTTAGTAGTTTTCACTAACACGAAACTGATTCGTTTCTGCTCTACTTTTTAATTTGGACTTGCTAAACAAAACACAGACAGTACTCGGGTGGTCGAGCTGGAGGAACGCGAACAGTAAGTACAAACCGCAGCACACTGCGTTTTCTTTCTTATGTTGTTTTAGTTAAAAAGAATCGGTCTCCTAATTTAACGGCGTCGGGCTTCATTAGAATCGCTTGCACATAAACACGGTGTTATAGAAAAAAAGCTACTGACTTGTTAAGGGTTTGAATGCGTTCTTCGATTTTTAAAAACGTACACGGAGAGAATTTTATTTTACCCTGAAAATTATGTTAATCGTGAGACAACATATTCCGACGAATTTTATGCGATTTTTACTATTTTTTTTTTAATATACATACTACATGCTACTACAAATTTATTGTAGTGCACAATAAAAAACAGACAAAATTATATAAAATTTGTCGAAATACTATATTGTCCCACAATTAACATAATTTCCAGAATAAATTTTAAAATAAAATTCTCTCCGTGTATAGCTCTCTATAATTGGGTAAAATGCCTGCTGTATTATTGTGCTTTGTACATAGCCTCTACTGAAGTACGTGGTTTGTAAATTATTGTTATTTATGTGCATACCTTATAACAGAAGTATAGGTGCATTCCATCGAATGATAATTTTCGTCGAGGCCGTGCTGGCGGCAAAAGTAAAAATTGCTTAAAAAATATTTATAAGGCGGAGCACTTTTGAAAATGATTCACTCGCGTAGATATTGATCGGAACAAGCTAAAACTATCGCCAGAAGTACATATCGAAAATTATCAGCACACGACACATTTTCAACAATTTTTCAAATAAGTTTTCTCCACACAATCGATAGCTTTAGAAAAATTAATAACTCATATTCGTTAATTACGCTATAGTAATGTATGCAGAAGTAATTAGAAAAGGAAGAATGGAAGAATTACATATATCTTGCGTGTATATCACGAAATAAAATCAAATTACAGTTATTGTCATACAAACTCGTTTCACAGATATAATCACCAATTATAATTATAATAATATAATAACTTTTAACATATTTTTTCAAATAATAATAAATAAAATGGTAATATTATAAAAATTTTATTTGCAAAATTAAATGTCCATTATTTGAATTAATTGCGGATTAAAAATGGTTTATAAATTTATAAAGTGTTTGCGGGAATTCATTAAAGTTACAACACGATGCAAACACGGAGCACAAATACACGCAAATATATGCAAACATTAAACGCGTTATTATCGAATAGATTGCGCACACTCGTCGGAATGTAATCACCGTCGAATTACACGTTCACTTTGTCATTTTATTCGGCGGATTCATTCCGATATTATCCCTTTGTATCGTATGCCGTCTTGTGCATCAACTAATAAGACAAATATTTCGCGCTAAATTGCTGCGGTGATCGATGAGAATGCATAGAGTATAGAGGACAGCTATATAGAATAGTGCCATCGGTGCCATCGTGTACACGGGTGTATAGCATGCAAGTTTGTCTCCGATCTGAAATCTCGCTGGAAGTGATCCTCTTCCCTGCACACCTGAATACATATCCTATTGCATAATTTAACGACTACTTCCGGCTTACAATAGTGTACTGTCAACTCGGTACGAGCAAGGTAGGTAGTTAGTTGTTCACGGGAACGAACGGGGGATGTTCTACACGACGCTCTTTCACGTACGCCGCAGTTACCGGCGTGCCGGGTGTAACTTCTTGCATAATTCAGCAAAGAGAGCTTGTAATTGTTAATACGGCTTGTAATGACCGTGCAACGTACCCGGGGATGTCTTCGGAGTTGCAAGGTAGGTGAAGGGTTGCGCGCACGTATTAGATTTTAGAATAAGCATTTCCGAGGGGGCCTACCGATCTTGAGTGTCACTTATAGCTGTAAGGCGTTTTAACAATTTCGACAGCAAAACATCAAACCGACAAAACGAAAGGATGACATAATTTTTGCAATTTATAACAACCGCTTGAAAGTACGATGGAATTAAAACACGTGTAAAAAAAATTTTCTCCGCAACTATTTATGAAGATTAAAATTATCTTATTTTTCTACCTATCTATAGCCTATTATTCTAGGAGTATAACCTTTTATTGTTTGGAAAATTGCGCTGCAACCTTCTTGCAACGTACGTTACAAGTTGCTACAGAGAAACGCTTGGAAAATATTTTTAAACGCCAACGCTCAAGGCCTCTTTACTACGATATTTTTAGAAAGAATGCATCCGCATTTTTGCCATATCTCCCTTCCTCTCTCTCCTCTCCCTCCCCCCCTCTCTCTCGCTTTTTCTCTCACCACGTCTCTCATCGCATGCGCAACCTTTCTGATACACATAGCGATGTGGCGATACGCGTCTTATCATGCAAGTCGACGAGCTGTGCACCGAGTTTACATTTAATTTCAAGTCCTTTCTCTTATCGGATGTTGGTTCTACTTCGAGATGTTGTTGTATTTCTGCGAAAGTTTAC